TCTGGAAGATGGTAACTCCCACACTTCAACAATCACTTGCAACTGTCACAGCACCAAGATCATTTTGTCAAACCCTGCCCTGTACCTCTTTACAAACAAGACCTGTGGGCTCTGCAGCTCACCTGCCTGGAACTTACCTGTAATTAGTAAAGTGTGTAAGAAAGAATTATTTGCTAAAAAAGGCAATTACCGTGATGATCTAGTTCTCTGAATCACTATGTGCAAAAAAGTGATATGTAGCTTTTGCAAAATGGTTGTCATGGAAATCATCAAGTGATGTTTGGATAAGGATGATGAAACAAACTTGAGAGGAAGAACACGAGGAAAAACATCCAAGTTTCAGGTTCAGAGTTGTTGTGGTTTCAAGAAGGAGAATAAAAATGCAGAAGTTTGCAGAAGACAAAGGCTTTCACACAACATAATATCCAACGGCCCTTGAGCTAGAATAGGAAAAATAAGAAACTTAGTTTAAGGCAAGTTTCCATCAGTTCACAGATGCAGACATTCTTTTTATCATTCTTTAACACTTTAATTTGTTTTCACCAACCTGGAGGTTGCTATAATTGATTTTCACCTCAACACTTTTTTTCAGGTGAGACAGTCATTAAGATGCATGCTGAGTAACTGGCATTTAGAAGTTTGGGATTCACTGATAAAGTAGATGCCACGTCCGATCCTAACCCAACTTTATCTCAATTTATTGGTCTGATCCCAATTGATTCAAAATCTAAATCCTCAACCTACCATTTACCCTTGTGTAAACTTTCCAGACTTTTACTATTACATAGGAAGACCTTCTGGTAAGGAAGATCTACACAGGGGACTTTGATTCATTAGATGCCACGATTGACCGAACCTACACAGAAAATTAGACGGGTGGAGATAACAGCTCCTCATCACCTGGTGCAACCCTGCCTGGAGCCATGCAATTGCTACCTCCAACATCCACCAAAGGTCCCTTCCGATGGTAAATCTATCAATCTGTCTGTGTTAACATCTCTTTTCTGAAACCAGGGCCTTTGGGGATGTGAACACTGGTATTTACTCACATATTTGTGGCTAACCCACCTGCTACACAGGAAAAATGTGACATCTTGCAGATCAGGTTTAACAGGAAAGTCTGTGATTGGTTCCCTGGTCATCTCCGACCCCATGTATCAAATATCAATGGGACTGCAGGCTACGGCAGCAGACTGATGTTTCACACAAGGGTTAGTCAAATATTTACAAATGATATGTCTGTGTTGTGGTGTTAAGGTTAACCAGTGTCCTTGTTTCTTGAAATAGTTTCCCAGCGGACAGCTCATGGGTCTCATTCATTCTGGTAACAAGCATGCAGGATTGTATACTGCTCCACACGAATGTGCTGAGTGTGCAATATTGTAGCCTGATGATAGCATATGGCACATGAATGTGCTGAGTGTGCAGTATTGTATGCTGCCTATGGAATATCATTGCTATATATACTGAACTGCAAAAGAAACAAAGCTTTAATAAAACACTTCATGAAAGTTTCCCATTGAAATATTTCCCATTGAAATATACCTTGTTCTTGACATTAGTCTGTACCCAAATTTAATGTTAACGGCCAAAATGTGGACATAAAAGAATTGGCAACCATTCATGCAGTCCGGCCAGCATGCAGTTGTCATCAAGCCCGATTTCCCTGATTCTTCCTAACTCTTGGCATGGCGCTAGTATCAAGGCAAGAATGTTGGATCCACGTATTTTGGGTCGCCATTTATCAGAAAAGGCACTAGGAAACCAAGTGAAATTTAATATTCATGGAAAACATTTGCGTCACTTTTTGGTCGTTATTACATTCAATATGGATAAAGACAAACGTCATAAACAAGATACCTTAAAAAAAGGCATTGATATTGGGAAACTTTCATGAAGTATTTTCATGAAGTGATGGTGTTCTTGCAGTTGAGCATATATACCTGATTATTGACCACTGATTTGTCTGGGCCAGTCCCACTTACTTGACCCTGTGGGGCACCTGAAAACATTGCTGGTTGTCACGTAACACCCGAACTACTCCCTCAAGGCAGAGACCATCACTGTCCAAAGGTAATAAGTAATATGACGGGACATTCAGGATTTTCTCAAAAAAGTTGCTGTCATGGAAAAAGGAAGATTTCTCTGGAGAAGTGGAAATAATAGTATCAAAAACAGGATTTAAGGAATGTGTCTAAGAGACAGCAAACTCTTCAGGAATTTCCTTTGTTTTACTCCTGGGAAATTTAGTGGCATGTATGGAAGAAAATTTGTAGTCATGCAAATGGGCCTAGTGCTAATTCCTGCGTGAGGACAACCAATATCAATCCCTACCGTTTCAATGATTATAGGACATAAAAATTACCCTTTATGAGGTCCAATCATCTTGGTATAAAAGTATTTATAGGGCCACGAGGTTCTGTAGCTTACCTTCATTTGTCTTTAAAGACTTGCATCATGATTGATTACATCATTTGTAATTGAAGATCATCAAAGTTATATTCGTAAAACACAACAGAGGTTTCTACATGACTCTGCATATTAATTAACACATGAGTTTATAGCCAAAATGACTTTTTCAACGTGGCCGTCATGGTGACCATGCTAGAAACAGAATTGTGTGAGCACCATTGAGGACATCATTGCCGTGGCTATGGGTTTGGTGTATGTGTACAGTATATACACTACACTACAGTATAAACATAAAATGTGAGTTTCCTGAACCATAAACTCAGAGGTGATGTCAAAAATGTAGAATTACCTGATTAAAAGGACATGAAGGTCAAAGGTGAGTCAAAAGTCAAAATAGACAGGTGGGTATAACTGGCAATTTCGACCTGGGTATTTGGCAAGCCAAGCGAATACTTTAACCATTGAGCTACCTCATGAGAACAGGAACTTACATATTGTCAGCATCACAAGAACTTTAGTATAATTTATTCATTAGGCCTGAAAATCTCTAGTCTACCATTGATCCATCTGCTGTTATAGCTGCATCTATCAAGGATGTCACATACATCAACAGAGGAACAGACAGACAGACACAACTCTCTAGTCTACCATTGATCCATCTGCTGTTATAGCTGCATCTATCAAGGATGTCACATACATCAACAGAGGAACAGACAGACAGACTGACAGACAGACTGACAGACACACACACACACAAAACACACACACAGGCATGCACACAAGTTATCCAGAGTTATCTTCAGAGAAGAATGTATATGTACAACAATTAGATTAAAAAATTGCAATAGAAAATTACAGACACAGCTTGGATGGGTTTTGCAATAATCATGATTGATAATGGCGTGCCGCCATTGAAGTGTTAATGAACAACCTACAAAGCATATCAAATTTCATAATTTCAACCATAATGAATAGTGACATACAAGCATTCTGACAGCCATCTTGTGATATTTTACTTTGGAAAACCCTACCAGCAGATCACAATAACCTGACAACATTTATACCCGTCTCAAATTCATTGATTTATGTATGTTAAGAGTTTTTGCTGATTAATCAAATACGTACTGACATTGATTCCACTTTGAAAAGTTTGATCATTAAACTTAATCCCTGCAGAGGAACAGCTAAAATTAGATATTGCATATGATGCCTAGAAAAATACATGCGTAAATCTTCTAGAATCGAATTTGATGAAATCAATAGTTGGGTTCAAACTTCATGCTGAAGTGCCGTTTTGATGAATTCCCTTTTGATCGGTGCAAGCCTTATTTGATAAAGACATTGACTTTTCTCTCCACTGCTTTTGTTTTTTAGTAATTAGAGAATACTGATTATGGAAAATGAGAAAATCATCTTGGCACATATACAGAACCTTTAAAACAGGAGTTGTGTTGAGTTTTGAGAGCACATTTGTTCATTTTAAGCCTTCAAATAATCTATTTATCATGAAGAATTGTATGAATCAGTCATGCTGTAAGTAATATATATTTCTCTTCATGATCATACAGTGATATGTTTAGGGATAACAAAAAAGAGGAAACGTTTCTTCAGCATTGGCCCATCACTTTAAATTCTGCACATCAGTCATTTATATTGCCAATAACAAAATATGTTTCCCTTGTCATATGAAGCAGACTCTGTTATCCATAAAATGAACACAAATGTATTCCATTGGTATCCAGAAGTCCAGTGTGTGCCCAGTTGTGTTAGTGGGTTTTCTTGATGATGAACAAAATAAAACTTACCCCCTTAAGTTTGAGAAAAATGTGGCCGAGAAATATTTACTTTCTTATATTATGTAGCTTAAGTTCTCCAGCCACGGGATCATGAGTGAGTGAGTGAATGTTGTTTTACGATATTCCAGTTATGGAAGCCCATGCAAAATGGCCATCATCAGGGAACAAGGACATCAGTCAGACAAAACCACCCAATACTCCATATTCAACGTTCTGACATCCATGGGGAACTGACGACCGACCTATCCTTCTCAAGAATCCTCAGTGGGGCAGAGATCTGGTGAAACCACCGAAACTAAAGTCGAAGTTTAGATTCACTGAAACATTATTGAAGTCCAAAAGAAATTCCTGAAACATCTGTGTTGTATTTCTACATGGAACTGATCAATGGCATTAGCATGACAAAGTTGTAGAAAAGTCTCAGTCCAGTAACTAATCTTTATGAAATATCTGAATTACTACACTAAACATATTTCATCATCATTGCAGTAAAAAGCAGGTGTCGCCAGAAACGTCACTGTTTTAATTCTCTTTAATTCTTATTATTTCAACAGAGCTTCTAGTCATTCGTTTCCAAAGATGTCTAAGTTATTGCTGGAGTTACCTCCCCTTTTGGCACACACCTCAATTCTTGATATACCCCTCCAGCTGCAGCTGTCTTGAGGTTAATATTCATTTTCAAAATTAATATGCTACTCGGAAAACATTTGGGGCAATTATTTTATTACTTTCTGCAAATATTCTAACGCTGTGACCGATGACCCACAAGAAGGATGACAATAGAATACTCACCGTCCATTCGATGACCAGCATGCCCTTCTTGTCTGTCGTTGTATGCACGTTGTCAGGATTCCGATATGGCCTCTCTGGAGGTGTGGTGCAGCTCCGTTTTGTCGCTTTACTTGGTTTGCTAATTCCAACAGAATTCATGGCTAGCACCCGAAAAGAGTACGTACCCCATGGATTAAGATTTACATAAGCCGTTTGATCCTCTCCTAGGCTTCTATCGTCCGAATCATGCCATGTGTCTTTGCTTTCCGAGGTATTATATTGTATGATAAAACCGGATATATCGTCTCCATTATTTGGACCTGCTTGCCACACAATTTCTGCCGATTTCCCATGACAGCTGATGACCTGTACCTCATTGGGCGGGTCAGGCGCACCTGGAACAGACAGGACACAGTTACATTTGGTGTCGGGGTAGCTATAAAAGGTGAATTGTGGGTAATAAATGTCAGGGAAGAGAAACATCTGAGAAGTGTTCAAATTCCATATTTGTGATGTGACAGCACCAAAAGAAACCTTCACTCCTACATCATTGCGAACATCGATGACACCTTAACAGGTGCATGCACCCCTTTGATCAGATGCTTAACATGACAAACTAGCATGGTTGTTTGTTTGTTTGTTGTTTAATGCCGCACTCAGCAATATTCCAGCTATATGATGGTGGACTGTAAAATAAAAAAACGAGTTTGAACCAGACAATCCAGTGATTGACACCATGAGCATCAAGCCACGCAGTTGGGATACCATGACATGCATGAATGTATTTGTGTTCATTTTGTGACATAGGTATAGTGTACAGCCCCTTTACACAGTCTTGAATCGGCCAATGACCATGCAGATGTTCATCACTCAGGTGTTAATTCATCAATCATCAATTCCATATCCGACTGTAATCAGTAGTCCATAGCAGGATTCAGACTATATTATAAGCATGTGTTTATGAATCACTATCAAATAGTGAAGATACCAGGTGTTTGTAAAAAGGTGAGCGTAGCCTGCCCCACTGGTGACAACTAGGAAATGATATTTATATCAAACCTTCTCTGGACTTCTTCACAATAGGTCCCGACTAGTACAAGCAGCCACACACACACACAGACACACACATACACGTGCATGCACGTCGCTATATAAGTGCAATAATCTTGGACGCGACGTTAAACCCCATTTCACCTGACCTCACAGGTTATTGTTATTGAATCACTATCAAATAGTGATGATACCAGGTGTAGGAAATGATATTTATATCAAACCTTCTCTGGACTTCTTCACAATAGGTTATTGTGAGCCTTTGTGCAATATACAGTTGTTGTGATCTTAATTGTCAAACTTTTATTGTTTAGTATGACGACACATTGATGTACTGATCGACATTCATGTTAAATTACACACCCAAATAACATATTTTACCAGATGTTTATTTATGAATTCAAAACCTACTGACCAACTGTTGGATACACTCGTAGCTACAACTGGCTAGAAATATGATCTAAATAAGCATGTCACATATCATCGTGACAAATCAACACCAGATAACATCCTGTTCCGTAGATTCTGCCAGCATGATAAAAAATTCTTTCTTAAATCAACATCTTTCCACAAGACATTGATTGACAACCAACATCAATTCCTTGATATAACAAACATTTCAAGATCAAATTGTGCTTTTAACACCTTTAGCTAGAGGTGACTTTTTGCCAAGATACAAATTACAATCGCTACCAATAACAATATCAGTAGCTCATGTTCCCAAGTACATTTCCAATTCTAAGCCTAATTACACTTGTGGTTAGCTGTTTTTTCTACAAAATGAAACCTTGCCTCCGTCTGATTATGAAGATGTTTCAGCACCTCTCAGCAGATCACGCATCGGTTTTTGTCCATCTCATTTGTGTTAATGTGGTGAAAAACTCCCCCAGGAATGAAATATTCATAAGAAGATGTTCAATAATACAAACTTTGATTACTTTTCTTCTCCTTGGCAGGTGGACGTAGATTACTCAAACAATACCATTTCCTGCCACATCCACCTCTACCTTTGCCAACATCACTGTCAATATTCAAAATTAAATCTTTCTTTTTTTTCAAATCAATTTTTTTTTTTATAAATATGAGTAGTCATATGAAAGGAATTTTTTTCAAGGTTTCATTTAATGGTTTTGAGAAGTCTTTTTTAAAAATAAAAATATGAATTAGAAATTGGAATAGACTGTTTTGTGAAGCATCAGAAATGCAAGATGTTTTGTCACATGTTCTCTCTAACTATATTATAAGGATGCCAAGGGAACAGGATGCTGGAGATGCTATATGAGAATTGGTGTATTACTGGTATTATAATGTCTGATGGCAAATGGAAAAGAAGTCTCAACCATTTCAAGAACTGATACTTTATCTTGCCGAAAATGATGGAATCCCTCACACAACCTTCGTTTCATCACTGGTAATGTTACCCCTGTGGTAAATCCCCTTACATCTATACTGCACAATTCCTAGGCAGCAATTCCCGATCACTTGAAAAGTTGTAGATCATATGTAGAGTGTTTTCTGCCACTTGTTTCGAAGCAGTGCATTTATGTATTGTCATGACAGGGCGATTGGAAATAACATATGAACACAATGAAACAGAAACATATCAATACTTAATCTATGCTTTATGTCTTTCACTGTCACATTAAATCAAATTTCATAACTGAACAAAATATCATGTTTTGGATGATATACGGGGTATATTGATATATTGTATGAAGTAATAAATAAACTACCTTTTCCAAAATCGTTATTACACAGTTTTAAAAAAAATATGATTTTTCTCCTATCTCCGATATCACATTTCAAGTACCCAACTGATATTTTAAGAAAGAAAATGTTTCACTTTTGGCTTTCCTCCCATATCAAGCTGGTATTCCATGATACATCTGATAAATATAACTGAACATGGCCATGTCCCCTGACACAAACAAGACAGAATAATTTGAAAGGATGGATGCACTCTATAAGCAGCCACACACGCACGCACGCACGCACAGACACAGAGACAGACACGCACGCACGCACAGACACAGACACGCACAGACACAGACACAGACACGCACGCACGCTCGCACACATTGCTATGTAGGTGTAATCATCTTGGATCTCACCTCACCTCACCTCACCTCACCCCATCCCATCTCACCCCACCTCACCCCACCCCACTTCCTCAGTGAGTGTCAGTCAGAGACAGTAAAGAGCACTCAAGACATGAAAACTCATTACAGTGAGAGAACCAGTCATCAAGTTTTTCAGTACAAATGTAAGTTATATGTTTTTAACTGATAAGAAGTAACATTCTTTTCAGTTTAGATGGATGTGTGTGTCAGTTGGCCATCCATTAAAATGATCTTCATGAAGATCTTGGTAAAGAGTGGTGACCTGTTTGTATATAAAAACAGTTTCATGAAGCCATCAATGAAACTAGGGTCTCAAAGGGGGACTGTGCTCAACTGGATTTAATAGGTTAATGTCTCATGATTCATGGTGAGGTGAGGTATAATGGGGTCTCACATCACGTTCAAGATTGTTGCACTTATAGAGTGCCAAGCATGCATGAGTGAGTGAGTGTGTGTTGACTAATGCCAGTTTTATACTGCTAGCCCACTGAACGAGTTCATGTCTAAAAAGTCTTTTCATGCATATTTTTATTTGAGAATGCACACAAAAGGTCACTCTGTTTTTTTAATTTAAGCTTGGCAAAAAGAAGCCAAGGAAAGCGTTATTAATGTCATGTTTTATAATTTAAGGACCGCCTCCGTGGTGTAGTAGTAGCGTGTCCACCTGGAGAGCGGAAGGTCCGGGGTTTGATCCCGGGCTGCGTCATACCAAATGAAGTTAAAAGATGCTACTTGTTGTTACCCTGTCTGGTGCTTGGCATTAAGGGCTAAAAACAATGACTGGTCGGCTCAGAGTCAGTATACTGTGTACGTCTGATGGGGTGTTCATGTTAAATTGCGGCATGGCATCTCAGTGGGCTAGCACTATAAATCGGCCAAAGTCCGGACTAGCACAAGCAGCCACACACACACGTCCATGCTATATATATAAGTGCCATAATCTTTGACGCGACATCAAACCCCATTTCACCTCACCTTATAATTTAAGACTGGAAGAATTAAGAAGCCAAGAAAAGCAATTTTAATGTCACAGCTCTAAATACTTTTAAACCATGTAATGGCTTGAAACATTTTATGGATAGCAACTTCTTTATTCATGGTGACTTTTTGCCCACTCAATATTCCCCTGATGAAGAGGCTACATCTTGTCCCTTCAATTTTCCCCTGATGAAGAGGCTACATCTTGTCCCTTCAATTTTCCCCTGATGAAGAGGCTACACCTTTTCCCTTCAATATTCCCCTGATGAAGAGGCTACACCTTGTCCCTTCAATATTCCCCTGATGAAGAGGCTACATCTTGTCCCTTCAATATTCCCCTGATGAAGAGGCTACACCTTTTCCCTTCAATATTCCCTTGATGGAGAGGCTACACCTTGTCCCTTCAATATTCCCCTGATGGAGAGGCTACATCTTGTCCCTTCAATATTCCCCTGATGAAGAGGCTACACCTTGTCCCTTCAATATTCCCCTGATGGAGAGGCTACACCTTGTCCCTTCAATTTTCCCCTGATGAAGAGGCTACACCTTTTCCCTTCAATATTCCCCTGATGAAGAGGCTACACCTTGTCCCTTCAATTTTCCCCTGATGAAGAGGCTACACCTTTTCCCTTCAATTTTCCCCTGATGAAGAGGCTACACCTTGTCCCTTCAATTTTCCCCTGATGAAGAGGCTACACCTTTTCCCTTCAATATTCACCTGATGAAGGGTCAAGAAGTAGAGCTGAAATGCCATTACAAATAATCAAGAAGTCGTTATACATAAATAGTTTCATGTCTTCATTTTTTCTCAACTGAAAATTTACCCCAATATTCCTGTATGTCATTTGAGAAAGAAATGTTAGCCACCTGAAAATGACTGTTGACAACATCGACAATACGCAATCCTAATACTTACTTCGGACTGTAAGATGAGCACTGGACATATCAATGTCAATGTCGACGGTTGCTTTACATGTATAAACTCCTGCATCAGACACTCTTGCATCCTTGATTATCAACGAATGTCTGTTTTTGTCACGTTTATACACATATTTGTCATTTTTTGTAAAATTCACAATGTTCCCATCATGCCTCCACTCCAGTTTCAGCTTCAGCCCATCCAGCGGGTGGGTGGCCGTCTTGCAGATAAACTTGGCTCTCTCCCCCTCGTTCACTATTACATTCTTCAGCTGATCTTCGATGTACACCAGGCCTGCAAACAACATTCAAAGTCTTAGAACAAGGATATGAATTGCAATGATTATCAGCCATCAAATTATGTTCATTGACAAATTATGAAAACAGAATCAGAAGTTGTAGTATTACATTAATGTTGGTTGTCTCAAACATCAGATGAGCAAGAATTGTTTGAAACTGTTTGGAAATCATGTGGCCATATGATCCAAGGCCAATGCGAAGAAATGGTTTCCATGTTCCATGACTGGAATTGAACCTGGACTATAAACGAACATATAAAACCCATGTTTTTGTTGTAGATCTTTCTATTGATATGAAATTAGTTGTGTTTCAATCAGTACCTGAAGGTAATGTGGGTGCAGATCATGAGTCATGTCTACATACAAATCTTACGAACAATCTGTCTTAACATTGCCTTCTAGGCTTGCTGTTCATCGTGATTTCCTTTCAGATTCTAGATAAATATGTTAACATTATCTCTGTCTCTGACTTTCCCATGAGAAAATGAAAATAAAAGCTTTTGAAACTTAAACCAAACTGAATCCACTTAAGCCTCTGGGTAAACACAGAATACACTGATGCAAAATCTGCTCAAAAATCTTTATGACATCCTGTTTCTGAACACAGAACTGCCAAAAGGTTTAGATGCTAGTTCTTGATAACTACATCTGTCCTGGGACATCGCTGTTCAAAACTGCCACATCAGTTTTCATAAAAGGTGAATAACACAGGAGATATCACTTGGGTCACTTAGATCAAGTCATGTCTCCCAGGACATATATCGCTGCAATGAAATTGCATCACAATGCTTTGAAGACCATTGTGACACCATCGATTAGGTTACCATGACGTTACTTTCAAATGACATTTTTACACTCAAAACACTGGTTATTACGGTTTACAAACTGGAAAAGTTGGAAAAATGATTTTGGATGATAAATAGGATCTCACCCTGGTGTCTTTTGATATAAAATATATCAACACTTGTTGATAAATGTTATAAGCCTTTATTGATTCTCATTGATATACACTGTATTTGACAGGAGGCGGCTGTGTGTATACTAGCCTTGCTCCTAGGCTGTACTGAATGGCGAGTCCATTGGTTATAGTAATTCTAGCCTCATAATAGGCAAGTCTAGATACATGGACAGTACAGGATGCCCGTCTCTTATAAGCACAACGTGTTCTTATTATTCATATAATCAAGAAATTATAATTAAAACTATTAATTAGAGACTTGTGCAAGTTTATGTGTAAACATTTTTTGTAAATACTGTACTGGACTGAACGTACAGATGAACTTTGGAACTTTGAAATATTCAATTTGTTTTCGGAATGAAACAATAAATATTTGACATTAAACAAACAATATTTTGTACTGTACAGTTCTTTAAAAACACAAAATTAAAGAACTGTAAAATCGATGAGTACTCTAATTACATTAAAACTCTGACACATGTGATAAGTGAACAGATATAGTTTAATAGTGTTAATGTAAAAATAGCAAAAATCCATAATTTTCAAAATGCCAAGCTGCGAGTTATACCGAGAATTCTCAGCTAATCTTGTCGGACAACAATAACAGGTTCAGCTAAAAAGAAAACCTGACACTAAATCCCCCCAAGTTATCTCCCCTGGGAGGACTCGCGGAACTGTTTTTGTGCTACAAAGTTTCCTTGCCAAGTAAGATCTTTATGCAACTGTTTGATTGGCTGACAATAAATAATAAAATTACAGAGCTAATGGACATAATTGCTGATCACTTGCGATGGGACACATCTCCCACGTGACATGCTTTTGGGAAGGAGATGGGGGGGTCAATTATTAGGGGAGTGGGGGGGACCTGATATTTTACATGATGCTATTAGCAATCTTCCTTCTCTAGTCTCAATAAATTAACAAAGATGTGTTCTCAGAGACTTGGTCTGTGATGCTGAATAAGTTCGGTTTGTTCTTCCAGTGTATTTGGGTCCATTTTAAAATATCTACAAGAAGTGTCCTGAAGTCATTCAATAATGGACCTTGGGGATTCTGGGTAAGAATATAGGTCCCCAGCACCCTATGGTTGTCACAAGAAGTGTCCTGAAGTCCTTTAATAATGGACCCTTGGGGATTCTGGGTAAGAATATAGGTCCCCAGCACCCTATGGTTGTCACAAGAGGTGTCCTGAAGTCCTTTAATAATGGACCCTTGGGGATTCTGGGTAAGAATATAGGTCCCCAGCACCCTATGGTTGTCACAAGAAGTGTCCTGAAGTCCTTTAATAATGGACCCTTGGGGATTCTGGGTAAGAAAATAGGTCCCCAGCACCCTATGGTTGTCACAAGAGGTGTCCTGAAGTCCTTTAATAATGGACCCTTGGGGATTCTGGGTAAGAATATAGGTCCCCAGCACCCTATGGTTGTCACAAGAAGTGTCCTGAAGTCCTTTAATAATGGACCTTGGGGATTCTGGGTAAGAATATAGGTCCCCAGCACCCTATGGTTGTCACAAGAAGTGTCCTGAAGTCCTTTAATAATGGACCCTTGGGGATTCTGGGTAAGAATATAGGTCCCCAGCACCCTATGGTTGTCACAAGAAGTGTCCTGAAGTCCTTTAATAATGGACCCTTTGGGATTCTGGGTAAGAATATAGGTCCCCAGCACCCTATGGTTGTCACAAGAAGTGTCCTGAAGTCCTTTAATAATGGACCTTGGGGATTCTGGGTAAGAATATAGGTCCCCAGCACCCTATGGTTGTCACAAGAAGTGTCCTGAAGTCCTTTAATAATGGACCCTTGGGGATTCTGGGTAAGAATATAGGTCCCCAGCACCCTATGGTTGTCACAAGAGGTGACTTAATGGACTGTGTGATCAGGCTTCTTGGTGACATGGTTGATTGTATGTCATAGCTTGCCAACTGAGTGGATCGATGCTCATGATGTCAATCACTGGATTGTGTGATCCACACTCAATTATTTACAGACTACCATCATACAGCTGGAATATTGCTGAAAGCGGCTTAAGCGAAAAGACAAGAAGACACCATCTTTAATCCTTATTGGGTTTAACACACAAAACATAGAAACTTGAATGTCCTGAGGTATATTTTACAGACTATACAACAATCGACCAAGGGGGAATTACGTATTATTCTGTGTCCAGAGTGAATGGTGTTATCGCTGAGCCATTGGTGAGGGAATATCATAAAATATTGGCTAGAGATGCCTTGTCCATACGAACATGACAATTTATGTTCACACCATTTTACATGTTGTTATTCTTGTATTCTTTTGTATCAATACAATACATACATGACCTACCAATACAATACATGACCTACCAACACAATACATGACCTTTTGCTTGTTTGTTTGTTTGTTTTTTAACACTGCGCTCAGCAATATTCCAGCTATATGACAGCGGTCTGTAAATAATCAAGTCTGGACCAGACAATCCAGTGATTGACATCATGAGCATCGACCTACGATTGGATACGATGACATGCATCAACCAAGTCAGCCAGTCTGACCACCCGATCCCGTTGAAAAGCATAATTGCCTTTAACGGCAAGCATGGGTTGCTGAAGACCTATTCTAACCAAGATTTTCACAGGTCAAATACATGACCTACCAATACGATACTCCTATCATGGCACCGAAAATTACACCCCAATATAAGGAAATATTATATCAATACAAATATGAGATTTAGTGGACAGTGTATCTGCCCAGAAAGCAGAAGTTTGTGGGTCCGATCCCTGGCCGCGGCATACCAAAAGAAGTTAAAAGATGGTACTTGTTGTTACCCTGCCGTGCATTCAGCATTAAGGGGCTTAAACAAGGACTGGTTGGCTCGGAGTCAGTATACTGTGTCTGAGTGGGGTATTCATGTTAAACTCTGGCATGGTATCTCAGTGGGCTAGCACTATAAACTCGGCGTTTGTCTTGACTAGTACAAGCAGGCCACACACACACACACGTATATGCACGTCGCAAAATAAGTGCAATAATCTTGAACACGATGTTAAACCCAATTTCTTTGAAAAAAACATGCAAAAAACTAATCCTTTAGTTGAACTTAAATGTTTCATCTTCACTGATTACGTATGGATATGATCAAAGTTTATCAAGTATGAATTAATGTCAATAGAAACAGTCCAGTCAAACACCATCTCAAATAAATCTTTATTTTTCAAATCACTGATATATAACACGTCAAAGTGTCTTGTCTGTTAATTCTGAACTTATTAACTGGAAATGAATTTAAAAATACAAAGGAAATTAACACCAAAGTATCCCCGTGCCTTGATTAGCTAAACCATCTGTTTTCATACGAAAAGGGCAGGCGGCAGTAATTCGTCCCAATTAAAACACATGTGTACTTTTTCCCAATTTCAAATCGATCAACAGTCAGCCCAGGCTACTAATGAAATAATTAAGAATTGGAGCAACGTGTCAATTCGGGATTAAGGGAGTTGGAATTCTCACACTCTTAAGAAACATTAACCCAGAGCATCAGATGACTTATTAGTTTGAGCTAGAATTCCATTGTTGCCCAAAAAGCTGAGGAACCAATCAGGTGTCTGGTCCAGAATTTATCTCTATTGTTCAAGGGAAGAGATTTTGACAGGGCTCAAACTGTGTTAGCCGTCTCATCTCCACACAGCTTGTCCCATGCCAATCACAAAAGGTCAAATGACAAAACTTGGTCAAAAAGACCTCTTAAAGTGCTGTATCGAAATGAAAATGGGCTTGAAAGCTTTCACTGCAGAAATCTCCAGCAGGAATCAAATAATACTGCTTCATTTGAAATAATCAGTCCTCATATTTGAAAATGTGTTTAATTCAAAGACAATGCCCAAGTCACACTTTAAGGATGAGGCCATTGTCAGACAAATCTAACTTTTGGCTCAGAAAATTAAACTTGGGCGCTGCAGGCTGTAAAATATTTAAAAGTTGCTAACTTTCATTGTCGCAAAAGATAATTAAAGTTGAATCATCCAGGATGGGGGGAAGGGATTGTGTTGTGGGATAAT